TCCAACTCCTTGGCTTCATGTTATTACACTTGACAATAAAGCATAGAGATTGTGGAGTAGGTTCTATATAGTTATTTTATGAGTATACATTTATATGAAATTATAATATACCAACAGAAATACTCTTCAGTGTCCTGCAGTTACTGTCAGCCCCAGATGAAGTACACCTTCTAACTAAAATTAATCTCTAACAATCCAGTGAAATAATGAAACAAGACCATCAGAAAGAACCGATTTAATGGTACTGGCAATATCTATAGGTTGTATACACCAAAGACATACCAACCGGAATACCATTGAAAACTAGAGAGCACTGGACAGCTTTTTCGTCCTGGTATGAGACTTCTCAGTACTTTGTGCTGACGACAAAACTATTACTCGAAACCAGGACTTCCATGATTTACGACAAATGCTCAACTACAAGAACTACTGGTTAAGTGTCCAATAGTACAATCCCGACTTCAATCAATTTACGATATGGTTTGACAATCTTCCAATAACATAGATGGATGGTGGCTAGCAGTGGAATCCAGGAAGCGCGTTTCGTCCTATCTGGGACTCGTCAGTCGGATGTACCTGCATCGCAGAGTTGATATTCACTCCGAGACTCAAACCCAATACCGTTTGCTTCAAACGTCATCTTTGCTTAAAAAGCTTGTGACTTAAGGCTATATCGAGGCAATCCGCACAGGATGCACATAGTCAACATGAGGCTGATCAATTGCAGTCCTAAATAACAATGAAAAATACATATAAAACAACACCAAGTGAATTCTAATGACATAGTTGACAACATTTACGGCCCCAATGTATCTGAATTCCATCAGTCATAACCTTTTTAAAAAAATAACTGAAAAGTGTATTTCTACGTAAAGTGATAATGTCCAAATTTACAGTAAAAAAGTTTGTAATTAAATCATCTAGGCACTCAGAAATACACAATATCAACAAAAGATAATTATCAGAAGGGGTTTTGTGGAGATTTTAGTCATTTCACTAGTTGAAATCATGAGTGCTGGGTTCGAATTTCGTAGGGGGGCGGGATCGTGGATGCGCACTGTTGAGGGGTCCCATACTAGGACGAAACAGCCATCAAGTGCTACCAGGTTTTCCATGGTGGCCTAGCTTCAATTGACTTATGATTTCAACTATTGAAAAAGCTAATTAACCATATGAATTTCGCTTGACTCTTATTTCTTTTTGAGTTTCTGTTTATTTTCTATGACTCATAACATTTAAATTTTATAGTTCATTCTATGTTTACTTATTTGTTTGTGTATATTCATTTAATGAATAAATTTCAAAGTCAACAAATTTGTTTCATTTGATGTATGAAGAAAGTTAATAATGGATGGTTACTCGATTGGTTGGTTTTATGTGTGATAATGTATCTGTATTCTTAACAGAAAAATACAAAGCCACTGAGACTGTTTTACAGGTTACATAAACATTTTTAATTAAAACACATAACTACAATAACAATAGCAGATATAAGTTTCTTTTATTGAAATCCCTAGTGTACATTGTTGTTTCGATTGTCAGTTGTAATTAAGGTCAAATTACTTTCATGTAATCAGAAATGAATTAAAGTTGTGTTTTTTTTGTAAAATAAATAAAGCCAAGGCGTTTTTTTTTGTTGTTGAAAAAATTCAAGTAACCGGACCCTTTGTACAGTCTATGGGTTCTTATGTACCTAGATAAGTGTGTGTGTGTGTCTTTCTAATTAGAAATAACACACAAGTGACACAATGTGACATAATTGTTATATAACTAAAGTAATTATCTTTTTTCTATAAGAAAAAGAGAATTCAGCGAAGAAAATGTTCTTTTCGACGAAATCATTTACTTAAGCTGTACATTCGTACATATAGTTATATGGAAAATGTATGTCTGTAGAAGGATAGAAAGGATTGTATCACAAAAATGGATTCGACAATGTACAGTTTAAGTAAATGATTTCGTCGAAAAGACAATTTTCTTCGCTGAATTCTCTTTTTCTTATTCAATAACACTATGGATTATTTTAATTATCTTTTTTCTCTTTTCTATTGACCTTTTACCTCTATTACAGTTTGTATTCATTTCCTTTGTGGTTATAATTCATTACAGTCTCAACATTTCATTTTATCATGTTATATAATCAACATTTTATAATTATCAATCTTTAACTGCCTTCTTATTGAATCAATATTTTGGATCTTGACATTTTTACAGTGTTTTTTGGTTTATTTTATTTTCACTAAGCGGTTGTGGAGATTGTTGAATTTCAATGAAATCATGAACGGATCTATTTTGGACCACCGTTAGAAACCTACGAGCACTAGACGGTCGTCTCATCATAGTATGGAACTCGCCAGCAGTGCTCATCTGCGACCTCACATGCAGAAATCGAACTGAGGACCTTCGGTCTCACATGTGAACACTTAACTAGTAGACCAGTGAGCCGATACCCACATGGTGTTAACGCCTAACTTCAATCAGACCACGATATTGGGAGAGTATCTTCTATTGTCTTCGGTGGCGATCTGTCTCACAATTTAAAAATTTTTACAAGACCATGCCAAACCTAACAGAATGGTATTAATTCGTTTATATTTTATGTTTTCACTTCAGCTGCCTACGTGACCTAGCAATAATATATATCTATATATACATAGCAGTAACAACCCACATTTAAATAAACAGTCTACATATGGGACTCAAAAATGTGTATTTGCATTTGTAATCGTAAATATATGTTTCGAATTCTCAACAGATTTATCTATCTTAATGGTTGAATTCATGAGTTGATCTAAGCCAGACCACCATTGGAAACCTGCAAGCACTAGACGGCTGTTTCGTCCCAGTATGGAAGTCTTCAGCAGTGCACATCCATGACCCCGCACGTGGGAATCGAACCACTGAGCTGGCATCCAGTGGTGTTAATGTTTAGCCTCAACCAATCCACGAAATTTATCCACCGTCCACCATTGTCTTCAGGAGTAACTGAACCACAAAAGACTCGGTTCCTCACTAGAACTCTAGGAAATTCATCTTGGAACCAGTGGAGTTTAACAGTCTCTGTTGCGAGGCAGTTACTCACTGAAGACAATGGTGGACGGTCGCGCAATATCTTAGATCTATCTATCTGTCTATCTATGCACTAGACTAAGACATAACTTGTAAATATATTCATTTGACTATCAACCATCACTGTGACATATCATACTATCTGCTGTACCTTTTTTGTTGAGATGTAAATCGGTTAACCTGGCTGTATTATCAATAAATAACAGAGAAAATTTGTGTTAAATAAGAAAGTTATTTAGTTATTATCTGATCGATTATTAACATTTTCAGTAATCCAGCAGAAAAAAATATCGATCAGTGATTTTTCGTATTCAGCATCTTGGTTAGTAAGGCCTAACAGTTATAAGTAATCAATATTATTAGTTATAAATTCACCAATAATACTAAGTGATTGAATTTAGTTTAATAGTATCACATGCCTGATATTGCAAGCATATAAGTATTGTACAACGAGTGACCTAACTCTTCTCATATCAGTTGCTATCGTACTGTTATGAAGCACAATATAACAGTAAACCGTTGTTATATTTCCCATTCTGGTTTAATGAATGCATGATAACTTGTCCAAATTAAGATATCAAACTTCATACAGATCTTTGAGTACGTATATAGTCGATGAGTTTTATGTTAAGTTATAAAGCAACTGTTCTATTTTTTTGAAATAATACTTTCATATCTCATGTCGATTCATTAAGACAGTAACAATTGTATATAACTATACATCAAGTTATAATTTTGTCTACATTTATAACCAGAAAATTGTTGTACTAGTTATCTATTTAGTCTTTTAATGACTGACAGTTAGACGGAAGGAATTTATGGAAAAAAACTACTGAACTAATAAGATAAATCTTTGTTTAAATAAGGAAAATATGCAACCTTATTTATTTATTTATTTGTTTATTCCACTTCTAAGTAGATATTTGCTATGGATATTGTCTTCTGAAGTGAAAAAAAGTGATTCATGCGTTTAATTGATTGATTTTCACTAGTTTACTTAATGCCTTAGTTAGAAATGTAGAACTAGGATGTTTCAATATTTAAGTATTCTATTGACAATTTAATTGATGATTATTAGATAATAATAATAATAAATAACCAGGAAGCTTTGAAACAAAGTTTAACAAAAAATAACCTAAACACGGAGAGAAACAGGGTGAAATCATATATGATGGCAAAGTATTAATCAGTCAATCTTGTTACTTTAGTTTCAGCTTAATTCGATCATATCAGAAGGGTTTTTGTGGGTATTATAGTAACCTAATATTTGAATTTACAAGTTAATCGAAGTAGACCACCATGGAAAACCTGGAAGTACTAGACGGCTGTTTTGTCCTAGTATGGGACTCCTCAACAGGGCGCATCCACAATCCCACCTCGCCCGATTTGAACCCAGGACCTGTCAGTCTCGCGCGCGAACGCTTAACATCTAGACCACTGAACCGACGTCCAACTGTGTTAATGTCTGACTTCAACTAATCCTTGAAATTGAGCGACAGATTCATCATTGTGATCACTGAGTTACTATCTCACAACAAACCCAGTTGAACTCCATTGGTCACTGCTTTTCACTAGGACTCCAGAAAATACTTCTTGAAGCCAGTTTCTGGTGATCATATGCTGGTTAATATCAGAAAGGTTTTTGTAGATATTATAGTAATTTTAATGGTTGAGATCATGTTGGGGACGATAGATCCCCAAACTCATATTTTAAAATTTATCTTATCGATCATCTTATTGATTAAATGTTAGATATTTTTATTGGAGTCAATTGGTGAACTAATCGATTAAATGTTTGAATAGCAGTCAATTGATGAACTATCGATTACATGCGCAAATAGGTCAATTAATGAACTCATTGATTAATGTTTAAAAATTTTCTATCGATTGTAAATAATTGTATAAGTACGCTTGACTTGTATGCTTGATCTGATCTGCCTGCCTGACTTGTTATCTGCTGTTGTCTGTAGAATACACTTTCTACACCTTACACAGACTTCTTGATCGAGTTAGCAGAGTTGGGGACAACGGACCAGAATAGGCTATCGAGATTCTGAATCCTTGATCCGATCGATAAGTCACTGTCATATAACCGGCTGTCCCTTTGAGCCATAACAATTGGCGACGGGGTAAAAAAAATACAATCCAAAGTCATTCTGTAATTGGACAAAATCCAGTCTAATTATTCAATCAATCAGTATCCAGTTTGTCATCAGTGTCCCTGAACGACATTGGTCATTATTCATACAGTAATCTTCATTGCTGATGCTGATCCAAAAAAATGACACTCCCTTCCGATCGATTGCAGCTGCTCTTTGAACGACATTTGGAGTTATTAGTCAAGTTCCGCACGCAGCTGCTAAGTCAGTCATGCTATGAAGATGCGACGGAAGTGGATGGATTGATATCTGAGTTACACAGTGAGCTGGAAAATGACAACAGCCTCCATGAATCCTCGATTAACTGTACTTCAAACGGAACGGCAGTCATCCATGATGCGCCCAGTGGTCCAGTCCTCTCCATTCCAGAAACATGCCCGGTAATGGACTCAAACTCCATTATCCCCAAAACAGCATGTGCAGACGGTGACTTATCCAGCTCACAAACACACTCCCTGGCAAATGCTCATAGAATTGTCGCAATAACCACCCATGAAACAGAAAACAAATCGAGCAGTACACTGAATACAACTTCTTCAAATGGTTCTCATCAGTCTGCGACAGATGTTTTTGACAAATCTTATTATCAAGATTCTCTTTTACCAGAAAATATGTCAGATGCATCAAATGATGATCAAAAACTTAATACAATTTTGATAGATGCTAATTACCTTGATGATCGATTATCTACAAATAAGATTCCAAATAAATTTGGTCACAATATTTCAGAAGAATTAAACTTCGAACACCTCATATCAAGTGTCGTTCAGCCTCAAGACTTAGTCACTTTCAGTCAATTCTCTGTTCAATGCGATAAATATGTCTTAAATAAATTCAAGTTAATTATAACGTGGGCATATGAGGATCCAACACTGTTTCGTGGGGGAGGATGGACCTGGAAAACTTAAAATCCGGATATCAACTCCGGATCTTCTAAAAAGGGGAGGAGTGTTGGGGACGATAGATCCCCAAACTCATATTTTAAAATTTATCTTATCGATCATCTTATTGATTAAATGTTAGATATTTTTATTGGGGTCAATTGGTGAACTAATCGATTAAATGTTTGAATAGCAGTCAATTGATGAACTATCGATTACATGCGCAAATAGGTCAATTAATGAACTCATTGATTAATGTTTAAAAATTTTCTATCGATTGTAAATAATTGTATAAATACGCTTGACTTGTATGCTTGATCTGATCTGCCTGCCTGACTTGTTATCTGCTGTTGTCTGTAGAATACACTTTCTACACATTACACAGACTTCTTGATCGAGTTAGCAGAGTTGGGGACAACGGACCAGAATAGGCTATCGAGATTCTGAATCCTTGATCCGATCGATAAGTCACTGTCATATAATCGCCTGTCTCTTTGAGGCATAACAGATCATGAGTCAATTGAAGCTAAACCACCATAGAAAACCTGGAAGCACTGGACGGTCGTCTTGGGTACGAATCTCGCGGGACGGGATTGTAGATTCATACTGCCGAGGAGTCCCACAATAGGACGGAACAGCCGTCTAGTGCTTTCAGGTTTTCCATGGTGGTCTGGCTTCAATTGAATCATGATCTCAACCACTGAAATTTATTCAATCAGGTAACAAAAATACTAAGGCATTTAAACACCTTGAAAAAAATAGCTGCGCTATTATCCTTAATTTTAATTTATGTTTCAGCATACCTAAAAATATAGCTTTCACCTCTATTGATCAAGGGGTAAATTAAAACAATTTCTAACGAAAAAAGGTTAAACAAATGAATGATACCTGATACCTGTAGTAAATATTCGAATAAGTCATAGATACACAGAGTTTATCAACGCTATGTAATGATCTCAAAGTTAATCAAATCAGAATTCAAGGATAATGGGATGCAAGTATATACTTGAATCATATGCTGAGGGATCATAGTATTGTTTGAAGTCTAAGCTGACTAGTTATTGTAAGAGATGCTCAGCACAGCATACCTAAACATGATGTGAGAAGGATGGTAGACTATGCACCTTCATCTAAAGTTAGCATCAATGTCAAGGACTTAAGGAGTTCTTTATGTTGAAGGTTTATTTACCGCTACGTATGTAAATAATTGGTGATTTATTTCATTGTTAATGCTATTTGTTACTATTTCTATTTATTATAAACAAAGAATATTAATTCATAAAAAGAAACTATATCATAATGATAATTATGACAAATTTTAGTCATTCTATTGTAATTTCCTTTTTACACTTTGTTTGCTTAGTAATAAATCCAATGTTTACATTCATCTAACTACACTTGCTGTTTATGAAAGATAATAAAGAAAGAAGAAGACATAACAACAAAACAAATAAACAACCCTAATCAATAATTAAGCACCAACAAAAAAAACAGACTTGTTGTTACGTTTATTGTAAATTTTCGTGATTGCTTATTTGTAGATTTATTTCTTTGTTCTAATTTATGATTGAAAGGGTATTTGGTTTTGTTAAAGACTAGATAATGCAAATATATACGTATATACGTATATATGTGTATGTATGTATATAAATTACATTTGTATAGTTTACTAAGTATTTATGTGCACACGACTAACAGTTCAGTTTATATTTATGTTTATTCATTTCTGTACATCTAGACGGATGAATTTTAAGTTAATTTAGGTTGAAAAATGTTTTGTAAGAGACAAATTATGTAGAAGTAACATGAACGATTTATTCAGACTGATAATATTATTATAGATACTCAAAGATTGCAATTCATTGTAACTTAGTCAAACGAACAAATAAGTCAACGTAGTAGATTTGTGGCGATTGTTAGATACTGTAGTTTACAAAACTGACTTATCTTACTTAAACAATTCTCAGGGTTAAATTAAACTCTGTTCAGTATGAGTGAGTTATCCAACAACATCATTAAAATATGATTTTTCACTATCCCAAATTGACTGAGGGTAGAAATGTAAACTGATCGATACTGATCCAGTGGTCTGAAAGCGAAGTAGTCGCCGAATATCTCAAGGCTCTAAGATCGATTCTTGGATGAGTGATCGTGAATATGCATATCTGGCAACTTTCGTATGAGGATAAAACAGCTGTTCAGTATCTTCTAGATTACAATGATTGTTTAACCTAGACCAGTATGTGATGAAAACTGGGACAAGTACATTTCCACTGTGTTCTTCCTTAACAGTCGTACATAGAATGAAATTGCCTATTTAATAAACTCACAACAATTCTTATCTGCCGTCCATTCTTAGACTCCATTTTATGAAGTATTTAATGATGACATTTCATTCAAGATGTTATTCAGTGGTAGTAAATTGTAGCGATTGTGGTTACGTTAAGGATAGAGTTGTAACTTGAGTGCTTGCTGTCAGTTCACACAGAACGGTTATTAGAACAAACTACTTTAACGCTTGTGGAATAGTTGAGCAGCTGAAGTCTACTTGAAGTAAGTGATAATGATATTATCTAGCACCGAGTTCAGCGAACATATGACAATCAAGGTTTCCAATGTTGAATACTTTTTATTCTATAACACATAGATCCATCATATGAAATTTCTTTTTTAGTTATTTATTTTTCACTGACGTATTACTTCACACAGAATGGATCAAAGATTGGTGAGTCCAATTATGTTATAAGGATAAATTTTTTTTACCGTTTTTACCCTAATATTTAATGCACTCGATATCTTAATCTATCAATTTCCAGTTTTGATTGTCAGACTGCTTGAATTTTAAGGCTGTCATTGTTTGCTGTGATAGATTGGTTGTCTGATTATTCGTCAGTATATCTTACGTGCTAAATCGTTTGTCCACTCCTTTTGTCTTACAAATTCTCTCACATACGTTACTCTAATCGTGTTACTTCAGCCAACAACACAAAATTCCATGATATACGTAAACATATTAGTTTCTGAATATTACACTAGACTATTCATCATATTATAATGAATCGATGAACTTAATAAAACAAAAGTGAAAAACACAGTAATAAAAGGTCACGGGTTTTTATCTCATCCGTTAGTCTATTTGATGTCGACATTTGTTTTCATGTCTATTACCATGTTGCTTAAATCGATCAGCATCTACCCCGTGGGGTTAATCAAATAAAATGTCCTTTGGATTTCTTTAAAAGAAGTAGGAGAACAAATCAATGTTAATGGCTTGAGATGAGTCATTCGAACGTTAGGATTATTATATTAACTAACCTATATACATATATGACAGACAGAGACTGTTGGATAAAAATGTGAGCGGACTCATACCTTTATATGAGAAATGATTTTAATATAATATGATTGTTTCACAGACTGATTTCATTACACTTCATATATGTTTTTAGTAGGCAAAGTGGAATTAGAGAAAATGAATGAATAAAAAATAGGTTTATAGACCATAGTTTGTCTGGTAGTCAGAACTGAATTACAACAGGCTAGTTTATAGTCGTTTTCGATATCGATCACATTTCATACAGAAGTAACATTTATTGGGGGATCATTAAAAAACATAAAACATTAGATAATTCTCTCATTATAGTTTATGATGCATCTCAGATTTCATTATGCATCAAGCAAAAACGTCAAGTTTAAAGTTTTACATCAGTGACTGATTTCAAAGTAAATCCAACTTTTCGCCTGGCAATCTGGTCCAAGCATTTTCAAGGAAAATGACTGATTTCGTTTAGAAGATCTTCCAACATCATGATATACTGAGTGGTTATTTTGTCATAATGCAGGACTCTTCAAAAGTACTCATCTACCAGTCCACGATACTCACAGCTTTTCAGACCTGTGCTAAGAATTCTATATTGTACCAATATTGAATAAAGCCATTAATAATAATAATAATCATCGATACATAACCCCGTTACGGCACGTCAATCGCAATAATATATACATATATATGCTGAACTTATTATCCTTTAGTTTTATGGAAATAAGTAATATGATGATTGTGACTTTTCTAATAATTTAATCGTCTTTAAAATTTTTATAATTTTTATCATCACTCTTTACACCGTTTTATTTTGATCAGCAACAATCACTGTACATAGATTTCCACGGTATTTTTCCGAAATTAATTTTCTTAAATGTTCATTTGAATTGACTTCAATGCTGTAAATGACTTCCTGGAAGATTTATGTTTATGTATATGCAAGTATTACAAAATTAAACACTTTATTTCAGTAACCTTTAAAATTCTTAAATATCTTAATTGTTTTACTACATTATATAAATAAGCTTTCAATTTCAGAAATTTAAAAGCCAATAAAATATGAGGATGAACTTGAAGATGCTACAGGTATTTTTAGTTTGAAAATTTAACCAATAACACCTACTTCCCTACCCAGTGAAATCAAAAGTCAGAAACGAGGAGATTCGAAGTTATATTTGATAGGTTATCAATATATCAAGAAGTGACTGATCTAAACTGGCTAGCGGTTGCAGGAGAAGTTAAGCACGGCGTTCTCACTGGTGATCTAGTGTGGATGCGTAATCGAGCGCCTTCAGCTAGGTGAGTTGATCAAAACAAATACGGTCAGCATCAATTGTCGAAGATTTACAGAGTTATTGATTTTAGGGATTTATTTATCACTACAATCTCATCTGAATTCGAGAAAACTTTTTTCGTTTTTTCTCGTATCAAATTTGAAAAATAAGTGTTATTTCATATATCATATGTAAAACACAGTAGAGATATTATTGTATGCTCTTCAGAACCTTTTATAAAACTACTCAGAAAAATCCTTTTTGAATATAATATAAGCAAAACCGATGATGAAAGATTAAGTACGTATTTGCCTTTTTTTCTTATGTAAATTGCACAAAATACGTTAATCAGTCAAACTTTATGACAATTTGCTATGCTCGTAGTAAACCCTCGAAGAAATTGCCTTATCAGTAATTTATCAAGTAACAGGCTGGTTGGTTAAGTAGAAATGACAATACAAATAATGATTTCCACACATGACCTCCCTGATTGTTATTTTATAATTCCATCTCCATAACTTGAGCGTATTTACTAAAAAAACAGTTTGTGGGAGATAAAAAAGTATTCGGAATAGGACTCTTTAGCGTGGATACATTCCTATTCAGATAAGACAATAAGATCAAACAATTGACAAAAAATTTCGAAAGACCAATAAACTTCCTAAATTCACTATACTCTAACAGATTTGATTACTCCTGTTTCAAAATATGTTTTGACTTATACAGACCTCCTATTCACCAGTTGATTTGATATAATCTAATACTTAATTAAGGCATTAAATAAAAGTGATATTGTTTTAATGAAGAAAAAAAGTCTTTTTAATGACTTTATTCTAGAAACCATGCTATTACAAACGATATACAATTCATAAAAAAATCCATCAAAACGATGAAGACTAAGAAAAAGTACC